ATAACTGATTTTGGAAGTGCTATAAGTATTAATACACAAACAAATATACACGATCGTCTTTTTGGGATGGTTTCATTTATAGCTCCTGAATTGCTTAAACAAACCGATAATATAACATATTGTAAGAAAACAGACATTTATAGCCTTGGCATGATATTTTGGGAATTATCTAGTGGTCATCCACCATTTGAAAATCAATCAAATATGATTAAATTAGCTATAAAGGTTGTTCAAGGTGACAGAGAAAGTACAATTTACGGAACCTCTGAATATAGGAATCTTTATATCAAATGCTGGGATGCCGATCCATGTAAACGCCCAGACATCGAAGATGTACACAAATTATTAGAAGGAATAGTAAACTCTAAAATATTGCCGGAGATTGACCCTAGTCCTATTAATCCTGAATGTATGTATAATTTTTTACTTAATTTTAAATATATTAATATGATAATTACTTATCTAACAATTAAAATTTTACGACAATAACTAAAAACTTCAGCTGTGCAAATAAAATCGACTGCAATCTATGGTAAGTTATCATTTGTCGTATTTCTTTTCAATATTATCCCATAAATATTTATATCTTCTTATATTTGTAATTATTAACAGATTCAAAACTTCAAGACCTTTTTGTTGATGATGAAAATGAAGCATAAAAATGAATAATAGAATTTGAAGTCTTCAAATAAGGATTAGATAAAGTTATTAAAATTTTTATTTGCTGTTTCATTTTATTACATAATATTTTGATGTTCTATAGAATAGGTGGGCAAACTTCGCAACTCCATTATTGATTACTAATCATTAGCGAAGCTTATTTCTTATATTACCCACCTACTCTATAGAATATCCTAATATTTAATAGTAGTATATCCTAACATTTATGTTTGTTTTGAGTATTAATATTCTGATAAGAATGTTAATAAAGCATACTAATACATACCAATTTATGTTCAAAACTTTAGGCACATTATACATTGAACATAATTGGACACTTGGACATCTTTGGATTAAATGTCCAATCCAACATTCAATTAAATTTCTGAACACCAGGTTTTGGACAACATAGTAAATAAAATTTTAATTAGCTAAAATATCATTATCGTTATCATAAGATTCTTTAAAGTTTTCAAAGCAAAAAATTATTAA